CAATGATGCTTATACGACAATTATCTATGCATCGAATTGACAGGGTATTTATATACAGTAATATAAATCTAGAATATTCTAGAAATTGTAAATACATGATATTCCTGGAAAGTTTTAGACATAAACAAAGTTCAAGAATGTTCTATAAAATGACCAAACATATTGACCACTCTGGAATGTTCAAGAAACTTAATGTTACTAATAATATACATGATGAAACAATACACATCTCACAACACCACTTACATCTAAGAGTTTGTTGATGATGGTTTTGACTGAACCTTATGTCACTTACATGTAAGAGTTCATTGATGACGGTTTTGACTGAACCATATGCCACTTATATCTAAGATTTTTTTGATGATTCACTTACGTCTAGGAGTTCGTTGATGACGGTTGACCTGATATCCCCGGGGTCAGACTGGAGGTACACTGTGATGCTGGAGTTGGCGTCCTCCATGTTAAAGCTGTTTGTCTGGCAGTAACTCCACTGTTTAGGAATCTGGTACAATCTTCTCTACAAATACATGTACATATAAAAAAAAGTCAAACTTTCCAGCTGAATAAAGATGCTAGACATAATTTGAACTCAATCTTATAGTGCATATTACTTTCACATTTTTGACCATGTAATTACAAGTTTTAGCCATGTATAAAAGATTTTGGATATAACATTATTTTACATATTTAACAGAGATCTTTTTCTCTTTCATCTTGTTCTTTAGACATACGAATTTATTCCTTGCCTGTCATATTTCTACTTACCCTGTACATTTTAGAAGATTCCACTTTTCCACATAATTTTGATTCCACCCTCTCTTTATACGAAGTAGCCTCCTGCAAAATAGGATTAAAATTACATTATCAATTAGATGGACAAAAGAAAAGTTTGGACACACCCAAAAATCTTAAGCCATTGCCAGGAATGGAGAGACCTTGATACTGCCCTTAACAGTAGTCTTGGCCAGTAAATAAAAAAATAATATTTTAATTTTCATAGTGCATTTCTTTTTAAACAGGCAAAACTAGAGATGTTTTTAACTGTTTGTCATTAACTTAATCTTCCTCAGATTTACCTTGGGTGTAACATTGCCGACCACTAGGACGTCAGCTTTTATACTCTGTCTGAACTCAGTCAGGAAGTGTCGAAGATCCTCATTGGTCAGACTGTCAATTACACTGTATATTTCAGGGGCGGGTCTATAGTTGGGGTCCATCCACAAAAGGAAATAATAAAACGAAAAGAATTTTGATTTTTACATCTTGAAAAAAATTCTTACAGGTAATTTCTGGTTGAATCCATTCACTTTGAATTTAAGACCTGTATCATCCACAGTGATTGAGTAGCTGAAAATTTAAACACTTTTAATCAGGAAAAAATTAGTCTACCATAATACACAGATATATGTTTTATGACAATGGATGTAGTACTGGAACAAATTCTCAAGGTCAGAATCAGGAGATAACTTACTCAAAGCCAGCCATGATAGCAGGATATGTAGGGGCATCCAATTTATGGTTCATCACAGCCTCAAATATTTTCAGCAGCCCTTGACTAAGAAATACCATTTATACCATTACTCATCACACTTGTCTATATGTACAGTATGTAAAGTGTTCAGCAAAATTAGGGTATTCTTAACTCTTCACTGATTGGTTGGCCACTGGTGACATCAACTGAACATACACATATTAACCTATTCTAGCCTTTTCATTGATTGGCTAGTTAGTAGTGACATCAACTGAAAGCACAGATAAGTTATTCTTACCTCTTCACTGATTGGCTGGCTACAGGTGACATCAACTGAACACACACATAAGCTACAAAAGAATTTTTCAGTTGTAAGTCATGAAGCTTTAGCCATCATTATACAAAATGTAGTAAAACTTATTTCTAAAAGATTTTGAAATTGGTTAATTTAGTATCGTGATGCATTGTCTGAATATCTCTCTTTTTTAGGAGTGAATCATTTACCTTTAGGCACTTTGAATTTCATATCCTTCTTGTAGTACAATGTACACAACTCATTTTCCGAGAGAGTGATAGGATGCTGCATTGAGAAAACTTCCAATTATATAATATATACATGAACATTGTACAAGAATAATCACACATATTAATTTGAATCAACAGCTTATTTTAAAATTTTGAACAATAAAATAAGCCATGAAACAAGTTCCACCTTTGTACAATACTTTGCTTCCACTTCTGCTATTGTGAAATCTGTAGCTGTAAAATAGAATGAACAAATTAACACACACATGAATATACAAGATATTGAATGCGACAGTGTATTCTTTAGTAAGCTGATATCCAAGTCTCGTGTAAATGAATTCCAATTCTAATTTTAAATACTGAGAATAACCCGATTTACAATATAACCTCATCATTACATATTACATACCTATTGATTTGTTTGGTTTTGGTAAGCAAAGATCTGGATTTTTAGGTGGGTCTGAAAGAAAATGCATACAGCCATTAAGATTTAATTTGAAGTCTTGCCTAAAGTGAACAAAAATTTAAGGCTCATTACTTAATGAAACCAAAGTCTAACAGATTTAAATAAAAATTCATTTCTTTTGTTTCTATGTTGTCTAATGGTTTTATGAAATTAGTAAACAGTGCATTCAATTTCATACTCTGAAATACCACCTTGCCATCTTTGAATCCACTCAGGTTTGATTTCTGCCACTCCATACTTCACAGGACTCCATTTGATATCCTGTCTGTCACATTTATCTGACAATTGTTTGGATGACAGGAAAATACAACAGTTGTCTGACCTTAGATCTGCCAGACACTTAACAATCAGCTGAAAAAAAAAAAAAACTGTCAATAATGAATTCTTTAAATCATTTACTGAATTTCATCAAGTTATCCGTATATTTATTTACTATACATGTACGTACCTCTGGGTCATATTCATACATTAAATCTCTGCCAGTTAGAACATCTTCTGGGGAAAATATCTGCATGTTCTCTGAAACTTTCTCCACATAATCCATTGCATCTCCCTAAACAATAATTAAAATATTGTCACCCCAAAAACCATAAATGGGAAATATTTGTATTCCTGAAGAGATCTTGAGTACTGCAAACAATTTTTTTTTTTACAAAACTAAAACACTTACCTTTTCTTTACTTCAAACATCTGATTTAGATTGAACTGACTACAACATCTAATTTTTTTGTTTTCCTGGTTAATACTCTTCCTTTTTTCTTTTATTATGCATCTTTCATTACCTGCAACACCTGTCTGTTCATTACCTACTGTTTCTTTTCCTTAAAAGTATACACGCTATAACTTGCGCCTGTTAAAATACGATTGGAAATTGATATAATTTGTTTATCAATAAAAGCTACGAAAATACTGTAAATTACACCATTTAAATTAAACGCGTTAAAAAGTTATCAAATTATAATTATTTATTGTCCTGCAAGGAAAGAAAAATAGCTATTTTTAAATAAATCCATCACGTGACGCCGTAGCTACTTTTAGATTGATAAACACACGTGGCGTAAAGAAAACAAGGTAGGCCGTTTAAGATACTACTCACTTTTGACGTGGATGGCAAGCGTTTTACTAAATGGTACTTATCTTTTAATGTTTTTAGTATAAACCAACTTCTCTGTAATGAAGCATATTAAACTTAAATTAATAATTGTTGTCAAAATGCAACATACCTCGTTGTCTGTGATTTCCCGTGTTTCTATATATAGGCCTACTATTTACGCACTTCCTTCGTCAATATTCATGAAATGACCGAATTCTTAATTCTAAGATATCGTTTTATTGTTTTGTTTTTACAACGACATCTATAGTACAATTTTGTGGAAAGTGTTATTTTTCATTACACTTCATGTGTATTAAATCATTAATCATTTTGTTTCACACAAAATTTGGCGTTCATATAGCGTATATGACTTTAATAAAAACACCCACCTTTTCTTTAAATCTAAATTTGGTTTCCTCCACTATCTTCATCTCATCAAAGTACTGCTTCTGTGGGCCGTTGTTCTTCAGTAAGTGTACGTACTGGAAAACTGCCAGTAGAACTTCCTCAAACTATTCAAGTCCCCGGTCAGTAAGGGTCAGGTTCACCACAAACAGGGTGGTAGTGGTGTTCAGTTCAAATCCATTGTAGCTGTGACCACTCTCCACGGCTGTAGCAAAATATCTACAAAATGACAAAAATAATCACGCAATCTTTACTTAAAAAACATCTGAAAAATCAAACAATCAAAAATAAATATCCATTCCTGTCAAAGTAGATGTTAGATTCCATGTGGGCAGTGGTTAGAGCATCTGCTGTCTGCTTAATAATCCACAGTAAGGAGTTGATTGTTACATTGTGGGTTCGAATCCTACTGTGGGATACGGCAACAGTCCTTCAGATGAGACAGTATAAACCAAGGACTTGTGACGCAGAAGGTACTGCCATAGTAAAATCCCTTACTGTTCATTATGGCCGTAGTAATATGTCAAAATTTGTGTCCCTCTGCCAGCAAGTGGTGGCATCTCCATATGAATGAAAAAATTCTCGAGAGGGATGTTAAACAACAAACAATCAATCAAAGTCAATGGTTATTTACTGTATTGAAAATTTCATCATCTTTTAAGTTCTTGGATATATGAATAATTTTATCAAGTCAGTATAGTTTGCAGAAAGGCATATGGCTAATTATCAAAAATGTTTGACGACCTCACTGAAGTTCCTGGGATAGAAGTCACAATAAACAATGCCTCAAAGACTGAATTTGCTACCAACTCAATTTTATACATATAGGTAGTTACAATCAGATACTTTGATAAACAAGGCATTCCTTAATTATGTATTGTAAATAGCCTTTTATTTGTGATTATGAAGCAATATGATATCAGGTTCCTATCTAAATATTTTTGTCTCTGAGACCTCTTTCTTTCTTACACCACAGACATTTAAATCTATATTTATCAACAACCAGGAAGTTAATTACAGCCTCGCTTTGAACTGACAGGTGTAAATTCATTCAAAATGGCTGATCATTAAAGTCACCTTGGAGATAAACAGTAAGTTAAATGAGTGTAATATGCTTCAATGATCCATTTAAACTCAGTAAGATGCAAGAGTTTTTATGAACTGAGAGTTTTTTTGTTGCAAGATCAAACTAAGTTGACTCATTTCAATACTTATGATAAATTTACAGTATGTTTCTTGGACAAAAATCCTCTTCAATATACTCTCACTGTATGCTTTCAATGGTAGAAAATGGACTGGAAATCTCTTCAAGTCAATAGAATTAAAAAAAAAGATACAAATATTTAATATACACTGTATCTTTCCTTCAGCATTAAAATTTTCAAAGAGATAATACCTAAACACACTTTCAGATGGCCCTGTCAAAAGCACAATTACCAGGTACACCTCAACACTTTTTAGAGTGTGGTATTGAAGACTGTGACAGAAACTGTGAATTCTACTGCAATATTTGCCACACAAGATTATGCAAACAATGTAGAGATGAACATCTGAGAAATCCAGAGACAAAAACCCATGAAGTGGTCCTATACCAGCAACGAAAACGACAACTGCCCACAGAAAAATGCAAGATCCACCCCACCAAGGATATAGAACTTCTTTGTGAAGAATGTAAAATCCCTATTTGTTCCAAATGCAAAGCCAACCAAGCACACAGAGGTCACACATTCATTGATCTGGAATCAATTTATTCAGAAAAGTTTTCCCATTGTCAAGAAGAAATTGCAAAAATTCATGAATATTTCCTGCCAACATCACAAGACATACAGAAAGAAATTAAGGACAATGCCACAGAAATCAAGAAGATCATGGACGACATAAGAACCTCCATGAAGGCTGAAGCAGAGTCCCTTAAAAGTCTGGTGGACAAAGTGACTTCTGAAAATATGGAAGAAGTAAACAAAATAGAGCAGTCATTACTGGAAAAATTAAATAGTCAAGATACAACCATTGAAAAGTATATTACCCATCTCAATGACCTGGATAAGAAGTTCCATGTTTATATGTCCTCTTTAAAACCTACAAAACTCTTCACTGCAGAGGATATGAAAATTGAACCCATACCAGAAACAACAAAACCAGAGATGCCTGTATTTACTGCTGGAAAGAACAGAAAAGAGGATATTGCCAAACTACTGGGGAAAGTATCATTTCCAAACATAAAAGAAGAGGTGAAAAAAGTACAGCCCCTGAAATCAAAAACTCCAAAATCAAATCCGAAATCAACAAACTATCAAGTAATGAAAGACAGTAAAACAACTTCTAATGTGAAACAAGCACTGTCTCTATCTTCTTCTGTCACTGAGGTAAGGATGCTCGTTGTAATAGGCATTAGTGGTGTGTATCATATGTCACTAGATCAGTCAGGTAGACTCTGGGTCAGTGATCGTGATGGTAACCTTGTCCAAATAGATCAACAGGGGTGGAATCAGCTACAGAAGATACAAACCAGTGGTGGAGAAGGTTACCACACAGTAACAAAAGATGGGGATCTGATCTTTACAGACCGGAACAAGAAAGTCATCAATAGGATAACACAGGATAACAATATCACTAAATTCATTAAAACAGGAGACTGGGTACCAATCAGCATACACTCCTCCCACATCAATGGGAACTTACTGGTGGGGATGAGGAAGAATGAACAGGCTAAAGTCACCAGGTACAACAAGAAAGGGAAAGAACTACAGAACATACAGAAGGATAACAAAGGACAGGGACTGTATAGTTATCCACACTACATAACAGAAAACATCAATGGAGATATCTGTACATCAGACTATGGTAACGCAGTAGTGGTGGTGAATAAATCAGGACAACACAGGTTCTCTTACACAGGTCAGAAATCAAAGTTCGATCCTTTTGGAATCTGTACTGATGTCCTCGGTCACATACTGGTATGTGATGCCTACAGTGTTCAACTCCTTGATCAGGACGGTCAATTCTTATCTCTACTAATCACAACAGAAGAAGTACCTTCTCCCATTAGTGTATGTGTGGATGATGAGAAGAATCTTTGTGTGGGAGATAATATGATTAATACAATTACAGCATTTAAATATCTTCAAATGAACACAGAATAGTGTTCTACTGTATTTTTCTCTACAAGTTTGTGTGTATTTTTCATTTATTCTGTGTTTAATATAAAATATAATTATTCAATGATTTATTTCACAAGTGAGGCAACAAGTAACAAAGTTTGATGATTCTAAACATATAAATGCCAGAGATACTTAAATAAAGCCATAAAATGTCAAAAGTAGTTACTGTGACACTTTTTGGTCAACATTCTCTGAAAACCCAAGATGCATTAACTGACAAAGTTTGATGATTGTGAGCCAATAAGTATCTGAAATATTCAAAAGTAGGTCACCGTGACCTACTTTTTGATCGATATTCTCTGAAAATCCAAGATGCATCAACTTACAAAGTTTGATGATTCTAAACCAATAAATAGAGAAACTTAAATAAATCCATAAAATGTCAAAAGTAGGTCACAGTGACCTACTTTTTGGACATCATTCTCTGAAAATCCAAGTTGCATCAATTCAACTGACAAAGTTTGATGATTCTAAGCCATTAAGTACCGGAGATACTTAAATAAAGCCATAAATTGTCAAAAGTAAGTCACCGTGACCTACTTTTTGGTCGTCACTCTCAAAAATCCCAAGATGCATCAAATCACAAAGTTTGATGATTCTAATCCAATAAATACCTAAGATACATAAATATAGCCATAAAATGTCAAAAGTAGGTCATCGTGACCTACTTTTTGGACATCATTCTCCGAAAACCTAATATGCTTCAACTGACAAAGTTTTATGATACTAAGCCAATAAGTACCAGAGATACTTAAATAAGGCCTTAAATTGCCAAAAGTAGGTCACCATTATCTACTTTTTGGTCGTCACTCTCCGAAAAATCAAGATGCATCAACTCAAAAAGTTTGATGATTCTAAGTCAATAAATACTTAAAATACTTAAATATAGCCGTAAAATGTCAAAAGTAGGTCATTGTGACCTACTTTTTGGACGTCACTCTCCGAAAACCCAAGATGCTTCAATTGACAAAGTTTGATGATTCTAAGCCAATAAGTACCGGAGATACAGGTAACTCTTAATGGCTCGAACTTCGATCTCTCAAAGTTCTTGATCGCTCGAAGTGAGTCTCCGCCTCTCCGGTCCTGATTTTTTTCCTTAAATAACTAAGCAAATTTACTCTTGATTTCTCGAACTCTTGATCTCTCAAAACCCTTGATCCCTCGAAGACAAAATGCAGTCCCGCTATGCATATTCTATTGGAATCTACCCTTGAAACCTCGAAGTAGCTTTGTGTATACAATGTTACATAATTGGCAACTTTACCTGGACATTTAAATAGCCCCAGGCAGAAGACGCTTCTCGAGAAACGGGATGCTTATTCAGGTGACACTTATACTGCTAGGTGATAATTGATTTATAATTAATCATGTTGCCTATATGCTATTAAAATAATTATCATCAACTGTCTTACGATAATTCGGAAAAGCGGTGTCAATGAAAAATAGTAAATGGAATACAAGACGAAAAACAAAATAGTTTATTAATTTTTTTTCGAGTCAGTGTCAAAGTTTAACGAAATATGAAAACAATGTCAATATTACGACTATTGTTGCATAAATATTTCAGAACTTTGTTCAATGTTTAATGATCA